TGGCAATTGGCGGCTGTCGGCTGGAATTTCAGGGTGCTTCGCTTTTTTTTTCTTCCTATAGTCTCGCCGAATTTGAGAGTCTTTACTGTATGGGAGGTGCATGTTTGTTGGGAAAAGGAAAAAGAATGGGTTTTAAATAAAAGTAGAGACAACCCTCATACCTTCTAATGGGAGGGGTTGGACGGGGGGGGGAGGAGGGGGAGGGGGGGGGGGGGGGGGGGGGGAAGGGGGGAAGGTGTTGGTCGGGTAATTAAGGTATATATGTGATCAACCCGGAGTGCACATATAATCCAATTATGGTTGCAATTTTAACAAATGAAATGTTCCGATAGTATGAGTAGTGTCAGAATATTATGCTCTAGCCTGTAGTGGGGTGCTCTATAGCGAGTACAACTCTTCTAGGGTTTTGCTATTTGTATCCCCATTCTTGCTAGTGCAACGCCTCTCTTCTTTCTTCTAAACTTTAACATGCTATCAGAGCAGGTCGATCCCCTTGGATCGATCCTGTGGGTGGGCTCACCACCTTGTTGCTTCCGCTGCAACTGCTACTGCTACTCTCTGTGCCGCACGCCCCGTGGCGTGCGGCAGTTTTTCTTCCCGCCGTGCGACCCGAGGCGCGCGGCGGTTTTCTGCCCGCCGTGCGCCCCGAGGCGCGCGGCGGTTTTCTGCCCGCCGTGCGCCCCGAGGCGCGCGGCGGTTTTCTGCCCGCCGTGCGCCCCGAGGCGCGCGGCGGTTTTCTGCCCGCCGTGCGCCCCGAGGCGCGCGACGGGTTTCTGCCCCGTCACTCGCCGCGTCGCCCCCGGGAGGCGCTGCGACGGGCGACGGGGACCCGCACGTCGCACCGTCGCGCGGCCCCTGCAGCCCCGTCGCGCCGCCCAGGGGAGCCGCGCGCGGCCCCTGCTGCCCCGTCGCGCGGCCCTGCTGCCCCGTCGCGCTGCCCAGGGGAGCCTTGCGCGGCCCCTGCTGCCCCGCCCCGTCCCGGACCTGCCCCGGCCCCGACCTGCCCCGGCCCAACTCCCGTCGCCTGTCGAGGCGACCCTGGGGGGGGCCGCTCTACAGGGGGCCGCGCGTTGCCCCCCCCCCCTACCTCCCTACCCTGTTTTTAGGGTTTGGGGGGTGGCGGTTGGGGGGTGGCGGTTGGGGAGTGGCGGGTGTGTGGCGTCGCCTGCTCCTCCTCCTCCTTCGTCTCCCACTGCTGCAGCTGTCGCTGAGGGGGGTGGATGTGTGGGAGTGTACGGAGTGGTGCTAGGGGGGTGGAGTGTGAGTAGAGCTAGGGTTTGAACAGGGGGTGTGTGAAATGGGGGTGGGACAGTTGGGGGAGGTTGAATGGAGGCGGTCGTCGTGTCGTCAGCAGCAGCAGCAGTCCGGAGGCTACAATCTCCGGTAGTCGCCAGTCGCCCGTGGGTCCGTTGCTCGTCTGCCGCTACTTTTAGCCGCGGGGCCAGTTACCCCAGTAGTCCGGAGCGCTGTTCCGGTAGCCACTGAGCCAGCAGCTCGTCTGTGTGTCTGCAGCGTCAGCAGTCGCCTCCCATCTTCTCTCCCCCACAGTCTCTCCTCCTCCTCACTTGCCCTCTGTGATAGCCTCTAGCTTTGCTTACATTTGTTAACTATAAAACTGCTACCTCTTGTACTTGTGCTCAGAATGTGTGGTGACATTGTGATCCACCCTGAGCTTGTTTTCTTTTGCTTGCTCTGCTGATTACACCCCACTTTGGCTATGGGGGTGTGTCAGAATATTATGCTCTAGCCTGTAGTGGGGTGCTCTATAGCGAGTACAACTCTTCTAGGGTTTTGCTATTTGTATCCCCATTCTTGCTAGTGCAACGCCTCTCTTCTTTCTTCTAAACTTTAACAAGTAGCATAAAGGTTCGTTTCATGACTCCAATGTTGTGACATCAATCTCCTATGCCGTATGATTCTTGAGGTAAACCATCTGAGTGTTCCCAATGTGAAGCAGAGTAAGAATAGTACGAGTGAATGAAAGAGAGAAGAGGAGTTCACTAGCAGGCAGTTGAGTACATATAGCAAACCCTAACAAGGCTGTACTTACTATAGAGTGCCCCACTGTAGACTAGAGAAATATAACATTCTTACACACCCCTATAGTCAAAATGGGGCATGATCAGCACAACAAACAGTCATAGAGCAGGTTCACAAGCACAAGTAAAGCTAGAGGCAGTCGTAGAGGGCAAGTGAGGAGGAGGAGTGACTGTGAGATGAGAGGAGATGGGAGGCGACGACTAAAGCTGCAAACACACGGGCAACAGGAGCGGCTGGCTCAGTGGCTACCGGAGATTGTAGCCTCCGGACTACAGGAGTAACTGGCTCCGCGGCTACGCCGAGCGGCTAGAGCAACTGACCCACGGGCGACTGGCGCAGCAGGCTCGCTGGGCTACCGGGGATTGTAGCCTCCGGACTACTGGCGCTGCTGGCGACACGACGGCTACCTCCGCCCAACCTCCCCCAACTATCCCACCCCCCTTTCACACACCCCCTGCTGCACCCCTAGCTCCACTCCCATGTCACCCCCCTAGCACCACTCCCTCGGCTCCCACACACCCACCCCCCTCAGCGGCAGCTGCAGCAGTGGGAGACGGAGGAGGAGGAGGAGCAGGGGACGGTTCACAACCCCGCCACCCCCATACCCTCCCCCATTGCTGCACACGCAGCAGAGAGACAACGGGGAAGGAGGGGTGGGGCAGTGCGCGGCTCGACAGGGCAGCACGCGCGGGTCCACGGGGCAGGGCGCGCAGGTCCCCTGGGGCGCTGCGCTGGTCGACGGGGGCAGCGCGCGGGTCGGCGGAGCCGCGCGCGTAGGTCCCCAGGGGCGACGCGCGGGCTGACGGGGGGCGTTGCTTTGAACGTAGTGAAAAAAATAAAAATAAAATAAAGCCTTATCGACCCCAACTACCCCCCTTTGGAGCCGAAGACAATAGGGGCATGATATGGGATCAGTTCACGTTCTTCGTGTCGCATGCAGGACAACAGTGCACAAAATAACGTTCTCAAACTGATCACCCCCGTTGATTCATTGAATACGAGGGTGTGACGAATGAATTGCCAACACCATAATCAAGAGCCGTGACGATGTGCTAGCACTGCGTGGTGTTGCCGCTTTGATGCGCACATGTTAGACGCGTGGCATGGATTGATGTGCACAAAAGTGAAAATGGGATTCTTCATTTCAGGTCAGACTCGAATTCAGACAATTGTTCTTTTTAATTCTTCAACACTGACCTTTACATGTCCAGTGGCCGTTTGCACCGTGTGTTATGTAATAAAACAATACCACACACCCCATAGCCTATTTAGCACACTTGGGAGACAACCCTCGGCTCTTCCAATCAGAAAATTATGGTGTTTGCCGGCATTTTTTTTTATGAGAATGACGGATCGAGCCGAGTGTTTTGTTCGAATGTAGAAAATAGGAGGAGCTTAGGAGGCCAGGGAGAGACAAATGAGTATAGTGACGAGAGCAAGGAGAGGGGTTTAATGAAAACGAGGGGTATATGATATAGAAACGAGAGTAACAGGTAGAAAGGGGTGCATCACCTACATGAAATATTAATGCAGCTACACTTTGTATGCTACAGACAACACTTAAAGCATGTTTTAACACACCCCCATAACTGCCTGTAGCAGTCTTGAGTGCAGGGAACACCCCACTAAAGGGGTACTTTAGGCGTAGCTGAAGATGCAGCGGCTAGGAGGAGCAGTGGCGGCAGATGCAACAGTGCCTGATGCTCAGCAACGGCGGTGGCGCGACGGCGGCAGGTGCGACGGCGGCAGGTGCGGCGGCTACAATAGGCAGCGGCGCGGCTGAAGCTCAACTGCAGCAGAAGCATCGCCCAAAGCAGGCAGCGCGACAGATGCTTAGTTGCGGCAGGCGCAACATCAGCAGATGCACTGGCTACATGTGCAGCGGTAGCAGTTGCTCAGCAGCTCTAGGAGGAGGAGTGGCGGCATATAAGAAGGGGCAGCGGGAGAGAGGAGGAGGAAAGGTGAGGAGAGACGAGAGGGACGGATGGCATGAGAGGAGGAGTATTAGCGAAGAGAGAGAGAGAGAGAGAGAGAGAGAGAGAGAGAGAGAGAGAGAGAGAGAGAGAGAGAGAGAGAGAGAGAGAGAGAGAGAGAGAGAGAGAGAGAGAGAGAGAGAGAAAGAGAGAGAGAGAGAGAGAGAGAGAGAGAGAGAGAGAGAGAGACAAAGAGAGAGAGAGAGAGAAAGAGAGAGAGAGAGACAAAGAGAGAGAGAGAGAGAGAGAGAGAGAGAGAGAGAGAGAGAGAGAAAGAGAGAGAGAGAGAGAGAGAGACAGAGAGAGAGAGAGAGAGAGAGAGAGAGAGAGAGAGAGAGAGAGAGAGAGAGAGAGAGAGAGAGAGAGAGAGAGAGAGAGAGAGAGAGAGAGAGAGAGAGAGAGAGAGAGAGAGAGAGAGAGAGAGAGAGAGAGAGAGAGAGAGAGAGAGAGAGAGAGATGGCCTAGATCCAGTCCTTAGCCGTTTTTAGGCCTCTCTAGTCTAGGATCCGGTCCTTAGCCGTCTTTAGCCTAGTCTCCTTAGTATAAAGCACCTGGATCCAGTCCTTTGAGCTCATTATTCATTGGTACGTTGGGTTCACTCTCCAAAAACCTGCGGCTCGCGCCGGCCGCCTTCAGCGCGTGAGGTGTGACAAGGAAACAAGGCTGGAACCAGACAACAGCAACGAGCATACTAAGACAACGGTACAACATGGCCCACTAGGCAACCAGAAAAGCGGGCACAGGTAAGTCCCCATAATGGGGAGAAAGAAGCAATTGCCGGCGGCACAGGCCGGAGGGGCCACTACATCAGCCTCACACGCCTCCCAACCCACTGGAGCAAAGACGCGATCGCAGGGACGAGATCCAGCGGCGACTCTTCAGCCGCCGTGGCTACCCTGCGGAAGGCCAAGGCGCCAGGACCATCATCAAGCTCAACATCCTCCGGCTCCAACGACAAGTGTAGCAGCTCCCACATCGCCTCCGACAATGCCCCGCGAACTAGCCCCTGCTGAACTTCGTCAAGGTGAGGGTCACGGACGACGAGCAGCCGACTCTCCACGGTGAGGTGATATTGCTCAAGGACCGTCGCAAGGCGCGTGACGAAGCACCCGACCTGAGACAGACGCTCCCCGCGCTCAAGATACTCGGCCTCGCCTGGGGGTTGATTCCACCCGCGCCCCCACTTAGGCTGGCGGGGGTCATTCGGCCAACCCATGTTCCACCACTCCAGCTGCGGATCTCGTGCAGTCCCGGGCGTCTCAAACTCATCCCAGCCGCGGTGGCGCTCGCTTGGCTGCGACGACGCCTGGACAGAAGTCACGACGCGGAGTCAGACAAGTCCAAGGAGACCATCACAATGGACAGGGCGAGAACACACACGGAAAGCCAACAGGCGGGAAAGCGCCAAACACGGGGGGACCCCCGCTGGTGACGGACGTCCCAGACTCACCACACCCCAGCGAGCAGCGGCAGGACGGGGACGAGGAACAAGAGGAATCTGGCGCTGAGGCCGCGGGACGGGAGGAGCGGGCGGCGGCGGAGCCGGAGCCGCGGGAGGGGCTGAGACGGACGGCGCAACAAGAGGCGCCGACGCAATATGGAGCTGGGGCTGGGCTGGCAAAACCGACTGCAGGTGCGGAGGGGGGGGAGCGGGAGGAAGCACAGGCGCCGACTGTATCTGAAGTGAGGCAAGCGCAGGCAGTACCAGCGCTGGCGCCGGCTGAGACGGTGGGGGAACCGACGGCGGAGGCACCGCCGGCACAAGCGGCGGCGGAGGGACCTGCCGAGGAGGAGGAAACGGCCGCGGCCGCCAGGGCTGATGGCGGGGAAGCCGTGGGTGACGAAACGGCTGAGCCCGTGGGCGGAGGTAGTACGGCGTTCGACCAGGGGGTGGGTGGTACACAAGGTGTCGGGAGTCCGGGGATTGACGGCGCCCACGCCCCGATCCGCCGCTCGATTCGACTTCAACCAAGTCCGCGGCGGCTCGGAGCAGGGCTGGCACCTGGCCTCCCTGGCCCGTTCGGGGGTGGGAGTCCCAGACCTACCAACCACGACCTCACGGCGAGGGGCCTTCGCGGCCTTACCCGTCATCGGCGAGGGCGGAGGAGGAGGAGGGGGAGGCGGGCGAGTTGCCAGCAGGGGAGGAAGTTTTGCGACCGCCAAGTGCGGCAGGAAGGGCGCGAGGAAGGGCGCGGGGCCGAGCCCGGGGGCGCACAGGGGGGCGGGGACGGGGGCAACGGGGAGCGGCGGTCAACGCGCGGGAACGGGTCAGATCCGGACCATGGCGGAAAAGGCACGGAAGGCCTGAGGTGGTGCCAGAGGAGGAGGAGATCGCTGATAGGCCAGCTGCTGCTGACAACGAGGAGGAGGAGGAGGAGGAGGAGGAGGCTTATATGGCATCGGAGGAAGGAGAATCGGAAGAGGTCTCCCTAGATGACGAGCCTGGGGTGGGTAACCACCAGGGGAACGCCCGACCTGGGAGATCACGGAGGGGAGAAATTGGGAGGGCAGGAGAGGAGCAACAGCAAAGTTATGCGCCAATCGGGGCCCCAATTGGCCAACCTGCTGGCGCGGAGGTGAGGGACATGCGCTAACCCGAAGTGATAGCTAGGGACAAGGACATCTGGCGACAGGTGGCAGAATGGGAGGTGGACGGCCTGTGAGGCAGAGAACAACCCTTCCTGGCAAGGAGAATGCCACCTGGAGTGATCGATGCATTTGCGGCGTGCCTCGTCATCCCACTCCAGCGACTGAGGAAAAATCCTACGTGCCCAGGAGGCTGGAGGGCACTCCTCTTTCTACCACGGCTGACACTACGCGCCGACATTGACCCCAACTGTGCGAATCACTGGCAGGATATTGAGGGCAGACTGCAACAGTTCCGACTGGAAAAATGGGAGCTACTGTTCACGGAGGCCCAAACCGTACCAGAAGACCCCAAACCGTCCAGACACCAGCCAGACCCCGAGGGACTCCGAGCGTGAGCCGAGGGACTAGTACAGAAAGCAAATCTCGCCAAAGCAGTTGCAGCACTACAGGCCTCCCCCCTCGCGGAAGCATCAGCAACTACACTAGAGTCACTCCGTGCAAAACACCCGAAAGCGTCAAGTGTCATACCAGGTTGGGTAACCGGGTTCAAAGCGTCAACCCTCGCCACGACGGCCGACAAGTTACGCGATGTATTGGCGAAATGCCCGAATGGGATCGGCGCGGGCCCCTCCGGAACTTGTTTCGAGCACCTTCGCGAACCAGCGCTAGCAAATGGGGAAGTGCTTACACTCCTGCTAGAAGTCGTCAACAATCTGCTTGGCAAGGAGCAACCAGAGAATATTCGCGACCTCTTACTGCCATCCCGCCTGATTGCCCTGGAGAAGCCTGATGGAGGTGTATGGCCGATAGCTGTAGGAGAAGCACTGCTTCGACTAACGGCCAAGATCGCACTACGTGAGCTCACGCCACAGATTCGGAAATACTTCTTACCAGTGCAGTTCGGAGTCTCGGTCTCAGGAGGAGCGGAGTGTATTATTCACTTGATGTGAGCACTACTTCAGGACGACCCCGACCATGTCGCGCTGCAGTTGGATATCGAGAACGCCTTTAACTCGGTCGAGCGCCAAAGCTTCTTCACGTCGCTCAGATGGTCGGGACTACACCCAATGGTTCCCTTCGTGCGCACGCTGTATGAAAGCCCCTCCCGACTGCTTCTAGATGAGGGATTCTCCTCAGACCATATTGAGAGCACGACGGGAGTACGACAGGGAGACCCGCTAGGACCGACACTTTTTGCGGCGGCTATACAACCAGCGCTACTCAAAGCCGCAGACGAATTCCCATCGGTGGTGGTGATGGCATATGAAGACGACATCACTCTGGTAGGAGTCCCGGATTCGGCGGGACGAGCGATGCTGCTGATCACCAGTGAACTACGCACCGCAGGGCGACGATGCAACTTGGCGAAATCCTCGGCATGGAGCCCGGCGGGCGCGCTCGACAACTTACCAGCTCGACTCGTGGTGGCAGTGGACGGCATCAAAGTCCTAGGGAGTCCGATCGGATCAGCAGCCTTTGGGAGGAACTTCGTACGGAGAGCGCTGGAGAAGATTGCCGCGCCCTTAGACCTAATCAGCGGTCTTCACCCCCAACACGCCATGCTCCTGCTTTCACGCTGCATTTCGAGGAGAGCGTCGTACCTGCTCCGCACGACACCAGCGGACCTCATCTCACGGACGGAATGGCGCGAGTGGAGCAAGCGGCTACTCCATACGGTCCTCAGAGCGGCACACCTCCACCTACCGGCAGACGAGATGGAGCAGAGCCTCCTGTGGCGCCAGGCAACACTACCGGTGGCCCTGGGGGGTCTCGGCCTTATCGACCCGCTCTCAGAAGCCCCAGCAGCGTACCTTGCATCCCTGACGGTGGCTCACACTCTCCTACGGCAACTTCCCCTGGCGCCGGGCAACCCCATGATCAGTACGGCATGGCTGGTATCACCACAGCCAGGGGAACAGAGGACCAATGGGGAAGACATCCGAAGGGACATGTGGGCGCGCTTGCCAGCATCAGCTAGGGCGGCACTACAAGCATACTTAGAACGAGATGATGGGAAGGGGCACCTACAGCTGATAGTGTCGCGTCACATCAATACGGAGCGGGCGGCGGAACTTCTAGGCGACACACGGGAAGACAAACCGGGCGCGGACAGTGGCCATCTCCTCCGCCTACTGAGCCTCCAAGGAGCAGGCGCGGGGGACTGGCTGCATGCCATACCGACGCGGGCGGACCTAACCTTCTCCCCGGGGCAGTTTGCGCTGGCAATCGGCCTCCGCCTAGGACTCACACTGGCAGTGACAGACAACTGCCCTTGCCGGGGAAGGAGGGCGAAGATAGGGGACAGAAGCCTCCCGAATCACTTGTTGAGGTGCGCAGAAGGCAGAGACCGCACAACAACGCACAACGCGTTGGTGTACTCAGCCCTCCGCATGGCAAGGGAAGCGGACTTCCTCACCTTGCACGAATCGGCCATTTTCAGCCCCATAACCAACCAAAAACGGGCGGACTTGATCGTTCGTGACAAGGAATCGGGAGAGACCTCGGTGGTGGACGTGACTGTGACGGACCCAGTGCTACAACGCCGAGACAAGCGAGCAGTGAAGCCGCCGGGGTGGGCCGCGGAGGAGGCGGCAAGGACAAAACATGGCATGTACACGGGAAGGCCGGGGTGGGTGGGATGCTTCGGCATGGTGGTAGAGACGTACGGGGCAATGGCAAAAGACACACAGCGGTTCTTCAGGCTCCTGGGCACGTCAGGAGCCAAGCAAAAGTACAGACAGGGGAGGTCAACCACGGTTGCCTCGAGGCTCACCGCCCACTACCGACAGCGTTGGTCGGTGCTCCTCCAGCGCTGCCAAGCCAACGCCCTGCTCGTCAAGTCGAACAGGGCAGTGGAGGCAGCGTTCCCACAGGGCCCGACTGACCCGTGGGAGCCACAGCTGGGGGACCTGTGGCAGGTCCTGGAAGATGGGTATGCCCAGGACTGGTGTGAGAGTACGACGGCTTATGCAAGCTATGCTTGCTTGCCTTTACTTTATCATGCTATTTCTAGCATAGGATAATTATATGCATGCATGAATGGCTTGATTTCCTAGGCTAGGTGCTTTCCTATATTTTATTATGGTTATAGCACCGAGCTAGGTTGCGTGCACCGAATTCTGGCTTTTCGGTTGCCACCGAATTGCCTTCTACTGAATTCGGGAAGGATCTGTTCGGGACGCTTCGCGACCCGCGGAACCTTCGCGTAACACCTGGTTACGGGGCCTTGTGTCGAGCCTATATATAGCCTCGTGTTGTACCCAGGTGATCATTCAATTCAATCTCTCTTTTCTGAGCTCGATCCTAGATCCTCACACTTGGTAATCAGAGCCTGTTTAGACGCGAAGTTTTTCGACCGCTAAAACCTAGCTTTTGAAACCGCGGGGGCGACGACGGAAAGCGCCGATTTCGGGTACGTAAACCAGTTCCGCGCTATTTTCTAACGTCCCCCTCGAACCGGTTTTCGAACACTCCTCAGGTCCAGAGGCGAAAAAGTTGGAATTTCGACCGTCGGATCGATTCGAATCTCAAAAGCCTCGAGAATTTCGCCCAAAAAAGTTGGAATTTGGAGCGTCGGATCGAATTTCTTCTCAACGGCCGAGATCAGACGCGAATTTCGACTAAGGGAGAATTACGCAACCTACAGAATCAGCCCTCGTCATTTCTGCAGTCAACTCGACTCACAGTAAGATGACCAGCGCCTAAAATTCATTTATTTTCGTCGCAAATCTTCCTATAAATCGCCAAATGGAGGAAAATTACGGAGTTACACACTGGCTTGGACCAGACGCGAGCGGCACTCCAGCGAATAGAGGCGCTTCTCGCGAACCAGTCGGCAGCCGCCATAGCAGCAGCGAACGCAGCGGCGAATGCAGTAGCGACGTCAGCAGCAGCAGCGGCGACACCGACACTTCACCCAGCAGCAGCGGCAGCGGCTACAGTGAATCTTGAGGCGGCACGTCCGAGGCAACCGGAGACGTTCAACCCGAATGCGAGAGACACCGACGTCCGTCGATTCATTGCGACTCTCGAAATTTACTTCGAGGCCGTTGCCTGTACGACCCCGACACACGATGCAATGCGTGTGAAGAAACGAGGAATGATTGACTAGTGGGAGGTTGGGTACAAGTACAAACCCTAGAAATATTGTACCCCATATGTGCTACCCCACTATAGCCTACACAGGCTAAGTCATATAAATCTGACACACCCCCATAGGCAAAGTGGGGGAGAACAAGGGGTCACAAGACCAGTCAAGCAAAGCAACGCAAGCTCAGGGTGGATCACAATGTCACCACACATTCCGAGCACAAGTTCAAGGCCACAAGGCCAGTTCACATGCAAGATCATATAGAAAGGTAAACAAGCAAGTGCAGGTATAGAAAGATCACAGTACAAGCAAGGTCAAGAAGTGAGCAAGTGAGGCCAAGTAGGCACAAGACCTAGCATCGTACAGCACCGCTGATGGTCACAAGGCGGAAGGGCCTTGGTAAAGATATCAGCACTGTTGGCCTCAGAGTCCACGTAAGCAAGGCGCAGCTGACCACGCTGCTGCAGCTCACGAGCAAGGAAGTAACGAAGAGCAATGTGCTTCGTTTTGTGCTCCAGTCTGTGCTCCCGACACAAGGCCAGCATGGCCTTGTTGTCTACGTACAGAACTGGAGGAGAACGAGGCTTCTCTCCTAGGTCAGTCAGCAGGTAGGTGAGCCAGCGTAGCTCCTGTGCAGCCATGGCCCCCGCGTAGATCTCAGCCTCACAGCTGGAGCCGAGAACAGAAGACGAGCGGGTAGACCGCCACGAAACAGAGCCGGAACCAAGGCTGAAGGTGTAACCCTGGGACGACCGCTGCGTAGCCTGGTCGTCAGCCCAAGAAGCGTCTGCGTGACCTGTGAGGACCACTGAACGCCGCCCTCCAAGCACTAGCCCCATGCCCGACGTACTGCACAAGTAACGCAACACCCTCTTCGCTGCAGCCATGTGCTCTGGTCGGTGTCTCCCAGGAGCA